TATGAATCACAACATTAGTATGCAGATTCATCAAGTAATAAGGAATGGAATTCAAAAGTCTGGATGTTTTGCTACAGCTGTACAAGACCTTGGTGAGATCACATCTGGAGTACAGTTTTCTTTTCTATATGTATTTCTTTAAATGCAGTTCAGAGAAAGTTCACTTGACTGCTTCCTGCGAGGAGTTATATTATGAGAAAGGGCTGGACATGTTGGGCTTGAATCCATTGGAGTTTAGAAGAGAGAGAAGTGATCTTATTGAAATTCATAAGAATCTGAGGGGACCTGATAAGGTGGACGCTGAAAGGAAGTTTTTTCATAGCGCAATTCATAGAATCCCTACAGTGTGGAAACAGGCCCTTCAGCCCAACAAGTCCACACTGACCCTCAGGTCATCCCACCCAGACCCATCCCACATAATCTACACCACCCTGAACACTACGGGCAGTTTATCATGGCCAATCCACCTAATCCGCACACCTTTGGACTATGGGAGGAAACCGGAGCACCCGGAGGAAACCCACGCAGACATGGGGAGAATGTGCAGACTCCACACAGACAATCGCCCGAGGGTGGAATCGAACCCAGGTCCCTGGCACTGTGAGGCAGCAGCGCTAACCACTGAGCCACCGTGCCATGCCACCTTGCTGCCCTAAAATTTCTTCTTTCAGGAGAGATTAGAACCAGAGTACACAGTTTAAAAATGAGGGGTATTATTTTCTCTCTGTAAACTGTTTTCCCAGAGTCTGGAAGACATGAGCCATTGAATATTTCTAAGATGGAGTTAGATTCTTAATGGATAAGGGAGTCAAAGGGTATTGGGGGTAGGAGGGGAAATGGAGTTGAGTTAGATCAGCCATGATCATGATGAATGGCAAAACAGGCTCAAGGGCTGACTGGCCTACTCCTGCTCCTAATTTATATGTTTGTTCAATCAATTTCTGCTGGATTTGCTTTAGGGGCTAGTGTTGGCTAAGAAACTCCTCGAATGTAATGAACTCTTTAGGAAGTCCACTCGAATGCAAGACCTTGGCTGAATGAGTCATACAAAAGGAAGCACTTAGACTATAAGATACAGGAGCAGAATTAGGCCATTCAGCCAATCGAGTCTGCTCTGCCATTCGATCGTGGCTGATATGTTCCTCAATCCCATTCTCCTGCCTTCTTCCCATAACCCTTTATTCACTTACTAATCATGAGCTTATCTCTGTCTTAAATACACTCAATAACATCGCCTCCACAGCCCTCTGCAGCAATGAGTTCTACACAGTAACCACCCTCTGGTTGAAGAAATTTCTCAGTTCTAGAGGGTTGTCCCTTCCCTCTGAGGTTGTGCAATCTGGTCCCTAGTCTCTCCTACTAGTGGAAACATCTTCCACTGACACAGGATCCTGTCGGTTTTGTGTTGTATGAGCAGTCTGCTCAAATCGTTGCATGAAACCGAAAAGCTTGGTTCTGTGGAAAGTTTATTGAAGGTGAAGATGTGATCAAGACTGTCAAGAATCATACATTATTTCACTTAACTAGAAATGTAATTCATTTAAGGAGATTTGCAAGGATAACATCATGAGGAAAAAGTGAACAGGCTTGAGGCTTTCTTCTCTAGAACATAGAAGACTGATGGACATATTGACAAGGGAGACAAGACGTACCAGGGTAGCTCAGAACTGAAGCCACATTCTGGACTCAAAATGTTGATTCCGTCTCTCATTGTCCACAGATGCTGCCACACTTGACTAGTTTCTCTGTTCTTATCTCATATTTCCAGCACCTCCAGTATTCTGCTTTTAGAAGACCGAAGGGTAACCTGATAGTGATCTTTAAGATAACGGAAGAGTTTGGTCAAGTCAACACAAAGAACAAGTTTCCACTTGTGGGCGAAACCAGAATACAGGCCATAGTTAGACAATAATAAATTCAGTGGGGAAATTCAGGAATTTATTTTAACCCCAGAATGGTTAAAATATAGGACTCACTACAGCAAGGAGTTTTTCTTAAAATTCATTCACAGGCCATCCCAGAGGGCAGTTAAGAGTCAATCACATTGCTGAGGGTTTGGAGTCACATGTAGGCCAGACCAGGTAAGGATGGCAGTTTCCTTCCCTAAAGGAACCAGACTGGTCTTTCCAACAATTGTATTCGTGGTCATCATTAGATGCTTAATTCCAGATATTTAGTGAATTCAAATTCCACCATCTGCCATGACAGGATTCGAACCTGGGTCCCTAGAACATTACCTGGGCCTCTGGATTAACAGTCCAGTAATATTACCACAAGGCCATCGCTAGATAAACACATAAGAAGCAAGCTCAGGAGACCTTGTTAATGCGATTAGATGAAGTGTTGGATGAAGGAGATTTACACGGAGCATGGGCCAATTGGACTGTTTCCATGTTGGAAACTTATATCTTTTTCAATCTAATACACAAAGTAACCCTTGCTACCTTGCTGTGGTGGATTGGCTTGAATGTTCCGTTGATCCCAAGAGTGACGCTGTCAGGAATTCTCAACTCCTGGCAGTGTCACCCATGATAGCAAGGTCTGAAGGAAGGAGACAGGCAAAGCACAATCCAAAACAAGTCCTTAATGGTGATCCAGGTGGAAGATACTTGTGTGATATTAATGTCTGTGACAGCAGATGAGGGCTGCAGCTGTTGGGAAATCCCCAGTCAGTGTTGAGTATCATCCGCGACTCCTCAGATACTGCAGCAGTCCATGTTCAAATGCAGCAGACCTGGAGAATATTCAGGCTTGGGCTGACAAGTGCAAAAAAAACATTCGCACCACAAAAATACCAGGCAATGACCATCTCCAATAGGACATAACCTAACCACTGTCCTTTGGCATTCAACGACATTACCATCACTGAATCCCCGCTATCAACATCCAGGAGTTTACCATTGACTAGAAACTCACCTGGACTCAACACGTAAATACAGTGTCTACAAAACCAGGTCAGAGGCTAGGAAGACAGCAGAAAGTAACTTACTTCCTGACTCCCCAGAACCTGTCCACCACCTACAAGGCACAAGTCAGGACAGTGATGGAATAGTCCCCATTTGCCTGGTTGAATACAGCTCCAACAACACAAGATGTTTGATACCATCCAGGACAAAGCAGCACATTTGATTAGCACTACATCCACAAGCATTCACACCCTCCACCACCGATGCTCAGTGGCAACAGTGTGTACTATCTACAAGATGCACTGCAGAAATTCACCAGTGAACCTCAGACAGCATCTTCCAAACCCAAAACCACTTCCATCCAGAAGGACAAGGAAAGCAGATATATGGGAACACTACCCCTTGCAATTTCCCTTCCAAGCCACTCACCATCCTGACTTGGAAATATATTGTCGTTGCTTCACTGTCGTTGGGTCAAAATCCTGGAAATCACTCCCGAATGGCATTGCATGGCTACCCACAGAACGTGGACTGCAGCGGTTCAAGAAGACAGCTCAACACCACCTTCACAAGGGTAATCAGGAATGGACAATAAATGCTGGCCCAGCCAACGACGCCCACACTCCATGAGAGAATAAGATAGAGTTGTCGAGGTTTCCTGGTCACTGAATGGGATTTACTTTCTGTCAAAGGTCCTATCTCAGCTGATGTGCAACAATATTGCCACATTAAAATATGTCTCTCACAAGGCATCTACCTAGACGAATGCAGCTTTACGATTGGGATCATCAGCCAGAAAAGAATCCAAGACCAGTGAGACGGAATTTCCTAAGTAGACAATCATATTTATTAATGACTGATTGCCACCTCTGACGATACAAAACAATCTAATAAACTGAATAATGAGATAAACGTATACAGATTGAAAGATGACGGTGGAAAAGAATCTTCAGAATTGAGGGAGCAACTGGAAGAAGTTGTAATTAACTCAGAGACATTTCCATGTGATTTACGTGATCATGTCCTGTATATGCCAACAGTCTTTGACAAAAACCGTTCCCTTCGTTGTTCTGTGGGTATATCAGTTGTGAAGAAACTCTGTTCATTTTTCACTGCCAATTGACAACAGTTTACATTTTAATTAATCTTCACAGAAGTCACACCTAATTTTCTGAAACTGCCTATCACACTGAGTCAGCATATTATTTTATAAACCTGTTGAGTCATTGCATGTTAACTACAACTCTGTGTAATGATCTTAGGGACAAACTACAGATAAAACCTGCCTTTGAAATAGTTTTATTTACTCTTTTTATTACCTTGGCAATTTCCTCTAACCCTCCGCACTCCCTCTTCCTGTTTACCCTATGCTGAGGTACAGATCATTAAGAGTCAGCCCCCCTCTGGGGCTACAGCAATGATATTCATTTGTATAGCACTTCTAATTCAGTAAGGCATCTCAAGGCTTTTCACAGGTACATAATTGGGCAAAATACCACACGACGTAACGGCACATTAGAATGGGTGATCAACATGGTGGTCGATACAGTGGATCCTAACTTGTGACATAAAGTAACAGAGAGCGATGACAGTTTTGGGAAGGGACTTCCAGAGGCGAGGTACTCCATCACTGTGCCAGTGATATAAAATACAGGTAGGTTAGTTCATGATAGACCAATTTTCACTTGAAGGGGCGTTCAACACAGAAGCTTTGAGGTGAAAGCATTGCATAGCAACTATCTCTTCCCTGGTACAGAGGCATTTGTTCCCACACCTCCAATGTTAACTGCCAATTGTACTGACAACAATTCAAGCTCACAACTGTGATAACACGGTGTAGAGCTGGATGAACACAGCAGGCCAAGCCTGCTCCTCTGATGCTGCTTGGCCTGCTGTGTTCATCCAGTTCTACACCTTGTTATCACAGATTCTCCAGCATCTGCAGTTCTTGTTATCTCTGAAACAAGCTCACAACTGTTCCTAGCCTGTGTGATACGCTGGTGAAACTTTCCTGAGTAGTTTGAGTGCAGTCACTCGTTGAAAGCAAAATAGAATAGCAAATATATACAGAGTAATGCAATAATAGAAAAATACCTGGAATTGTCACTGGTAGCTCAGTGCTGCTACTAGTGGTGTCCTGAGTTCCATTTCTCTTCTCCATTCTTGACACTTCTCTCCCCTGCTCTTGAGTGCTTGGCGTGTTTCGAAATGTTTTGTCTCTTTTTTTTTTGTTGAAAAGTCTCTTCTGTAAACTGAGTTGAGCCAGATCCCACCCTGGAAGCACTGCTGTAGGGCACAAAGCCAGAAAAGCAGCAGGGCTTTCCAATCCTGCGGGCGGGTTGGAGTGAGGTGGGGAGGAGGGAAGGTGTTGAGGAGTTGGGGACGGGGGTGGTGTGAGGGAGAATGATATAGCAAACTCTAATCTATGTTAACACTGTCATTCAAAACCAAAACAAAAAAAAAAAGATTGGAGGCATTCGTCAAGAAAGAAAACCCCAGCTGAGACAGTTAATTGTTTTGACAGGAAGTTTGACAGTCTCTGACTAATCAGCTGATCAGGGTGAAGAAAACAGGATATTCTGTAGTTTTAAAATGTAGGCTTCACAATCAGGGCCCATTTGAGCTGTCTATATCAATGCCTGACAGACTGAGCAGCTACCTTAGAGAATAGAGTACCCGCCACACTGCGTTACTTGTTTTGCTGCTGTCAGGATTTTGTATTAAGTTGCTGGTTCATTCCTTTTGGATCTTACTTAGAGTCGAGCCAGCCCCGTACCCAACATCTGCAAGTCATTGCCTGTGACATTATAAACAAGGGAAGGGCACGGTGATTATAAAGCATGTGGCTTTTGGGAAAACAATAATAATGAAAATTTGACGTCACACAGGCAGCAAATGGTTTCGATTTGCATCTGGCTCTTTTTGCACTAGTTTGAGAGTTGGGTTTATCATTTTTAGTGTTTATATTAAAAGTTCTGGAGGATATTAAAAAGTAGAATGTTTATTTAGTTTCAGATTAAGTGGGATTGTGTTATCTTGCAGTAAAAGCACCAATTTTTCTCCCAATTCCAATCTAAAAAGTAGTTATAGTGGGACCAACCACCCCCACCCCCACCCCCACTCTCAAAACCACTGCCAAGTCTTTAAATTAACCTTGTGTAATATGAATTAATTTTCTTTCTCTCAGTTAACAGCTGGGAAAGAAAACTGTGGCAAGATCTAATTAATTACATTTCTTAATTAGAAGTGAAAACTTCAGGAAAAACACACACATCCTGTTGATGCATTCTTAGGAACAAATACGATTTATTTTACTCATTCATGGGATGTGAGCTTCGTTGTATTGGCCAACATTGATTGCCCACCCTGAATGTTAGAATTTCCTTCCTGTTTGGGAAATAAGAGAATTTTGGGGTGGAGAATAGAACGGTAGTGTTTTTTTACCTTTATGTGGTTTCATGGTTTAAAAAATTTGTATTCATACAGTTCTCACAGATGACATAACACACTTTGATGTCAAAACGTCACAAAGTGTTACAGCTCAGGGCGAGTCCCTTTGGCCCACTGCGTCTATTTTGGTCATCAAGTGCCTATCTACTCTAGTCCCATTTTCTAATACTTAACCTGTGTATGCTATGTTGCTTCAAGCATCATCATTTAAATACTTCTTAAATGTTGTGATGGTTCCTGCCACCACTACCATCTTAAGCAATGAATTCCAGATACCTACTATCCTCTGGGTGAAAGAAAAAAATCTTCATTAAATCTTTTCTAAACTTCTTGCCCTTCACCTTAAATCTACTGTCACTGGTTATTGATCCCTTGACTAAGGGAAATGTTTCTTCCTGTCAACCATACGTATGCCCCTCAAAATTTTGCACATTTCAATCCCCTGCTCCCTCAACCTTCTTTACTCTCAGGAAAACAACTCCGGCCTATCTATCTCTTTTCATACCTGAGTCGCTCCAGCCCAGGCAACATCCAGGTGAATCTCCTCTGCACTGTCTCTAATGCAATCACATCCTTTCTGTGGTGTGATGACCAGAGCTTCACACGATACTCCAGCTGGGGCCTGGCTAACATTATACACAGCTCCATCATAACCTCCTTGCTTTTGTATTCATACCCTCGACTAACAGTGGCAAGTATGCCATATGCCTTCCTGACCACTTTATCCAACTGCCTAGGCGCCTTCAAAATCTGTCAACGTGCCTGAAACGGCAGCAGGACAAACAATGCCAGCCACACGCCTCCTGTAAGTGAGAGAGGACTGGCTCTGAGCTGGTTGGCCACAGGCAGTGTGCTGTGCACATGTAAATAAAAGCGTGACTTTGTGCCTGGGTACCAGCCTCTGTGCAGTTATTTCAGTGGCAATAAGGGTGGGATTAATGACGTGATAATGCAGAAGGGCCTGCTAGCTGAAGCCCAACTAGATTTCAAACAGGCACGACAAATAGCTTTGCCAGTAGAAAATGCAGCAAGTGGAGCATAGGAGCGGCAGGGCATCCCAATGGAACTGGACTCCCTCACCTGTCCAAATGAGCTTGGGAAACACCACTTGAGTGTAGGCAATTGCAAAGCCTCACGCAGGGCATGTCCTGAGCAGAGGGACCATAGGCCAACCCACAGCAGAACCCCACAACAAAGCTGTGCCTCGGCCAAGTGGCTAAAAAGTTCTTCAGGATCGGGACTAGCAAGTCATTGTAGTTGTTACTGGTATGTGACTCGAGACAGCAAAGGAGTCCTACAAGGCCTGACTTGAGAAAGAAAATTCCCAGGAGGGTGCTCACCCTGGGAATTCCTCCAAATATGAGTTGGAATAATTAAATTGCTTAATGACATCCAAATCGGAACCAATTAAAATTAATGCTTGGTTAAATGGTCACCCAGTTCCTTTGGAGTTCGATACCAGGACAGCTGTATCTGTGGTTGTGGAATCTGTCTGTAACAAGATTTGCTTGGGACCCCAACCCTGAAGTTTGCACAAGACCTCGGCCAGATTGAGAACATACACTGGGGAGAAGACTCCACACCAGGTTAAACCTGATATTCCCAGGCCTGATATTCCCAGACACCTCATCTGGGCCTGTTGGCTTGCCCAACCAGTTCTGAGGAGGGGTCACTGGACCCAAAACATTAACCCCTATTTCTCTTCACAGACGCTGCCAGACCTACTGAGTTTTCCCACTTCTGTTTTTGTTGCTCTTGTTGACGAAACACAATCTGCCTCCTAGACTGACTTGGCTTTTCTTTTACATTGGTCTGTGCATCACCCACTTTGTACATCCACTCTGTATCCCACTCCCCAACCACATTAGTTTAAATCCTGACCAACAGCACTAGCAACTCTTCCACTCCGCATGGAAGTTGGTTCCATTGCTGTCCAGTACAACCCCATCAGAGTTTTACAGTGCCACGTTCCCCAGAAATGGATCCAGTGATCCAGAAATCTAAAGATGTCCCTTTTGCACCACCTCTTCAGCCCCTCATTCATCTGCTCTGACCGTCTAATCCTATATTCACTAGTACGTGGGAGCAGGAGATTATAGCCTTTGATGTCCTGCTTTTCAATCAGCTGCACAGCTCTCTAAATTCTTGTTGCATGACCACAACCCTCTTATAGGCATCAATGTTTCCTTTTATTGACTCATGGGAAATAGGCGTTACTGGCTGGGCCAGCATTTATTACCAATTGTGTGTGCTCTGAAGAAATAGTGGTGAGCTGCTTCTTCAACTGCTGCAGTCCACATGCTGAAGGCAGACCCACAATACCCTAAGGGAGGGAATTCGAGGATTTGGGCCCAGTGACAGTGAAGGAACAGCGATGTATTTCCAAGCCAGGATGGTGAGTGGCTTGGAGGGGAACTTGAAGCTGGTGGTGTTCCCATGGACCTACTGCCCTTGTCCTTCTAGGTCAAAGTGGTTGTGAGTTTGGAAGGTGCTGTCTGAGGAGCTTTGGTGAATTTCTGCAGAGCGTCTTGTAGATAGTACACACTGCTGCTACTGAGTGTCGGTGGTAGAGGGAGTGGATGCTTGTGGATGTAGTGGCAATCAAGCGGGCTGCTTTGTCCTGGATGGTGTCAAGCTTCTTGAGTGTTGTTGGAGCTACACCTATCCAGACAAGTGGGGAGTATTCCATTGCATTCCTAATATGTGCCTTGTAGATTGGAGATAGGCTTTGGGGAATCAGGAGGTAAGTTACTCACTGCAGTATTCCTAGTCTCTGACTTGTGTTTGTAGCCACAGTGCTTATGTGACCGATCCAGTCAAGTTTCTGGTTAATGGTAACTGGTTAATGATAATGGGGAATTCAGTGATGGTAACACCATTGAATATCAAGGGGCAGTGGTTTGATTGTCTCTTATTGGCAAGGGTCATTGCCTCGCATTAGTGCGGCACGAATGTAACTTGTTATTTTTCAGCCTAAGCCTGCATATTGTCCTGATCCAGTTCAGTATCTGAGGAGTCCTAAATGGTGCTGAACATTGTTTAATCATCAGTGAACATCCTCTCATCTGACCTTACGATGGAGGAAAAATCATTGATGAAGCAGCTGAAGATGGGTGGTCCTTGGACACTACCATGAGGAACTCCTGCAGAGATGTTCTGGAGCTGAGACGACTAACTTCTGACTGTTTACTGTCCAACTTCAGAATTCCTTATGTCTGTTCAATGACATCCTTGACCCAGGCCCCAGTGAGGCAACACACCACTCTGAACTCAGTCTGCACCTGCAGAACATTCTGCCTATATCTAATATTATTGACTCTCTTACCACTATAACTATCATAGCATCCCTAGAGTGTGGAAACAGGCCATTTGGCCCAACAAATCCACACCGTCCCCACCGAAGCGCATCCCACCCAGACCCATTCCCCTGCATTTCCCATGTCTAACCCACCTAACCTAAACATCCCTGGGCACTATGGCAATTTAGCATGGCCAATCCACCTAACCTTCACATCTTTAGTTTGTGGGAGGAAACCAGAGCACCCAGAGGAAACCTGCGCAGACACAGGGAGAATGTGCAAACTCCACACAGACAGTCGCCCGAGGCTGGAATCAAACCCGGGTTCCTGGTGTTGTGAGGCAGTAGTGTTATCCACTGAGCCACCGTGCCGACCAAACTCTTCCTTTCCACCTTGTACAGCTGGGATTTGACTGCCCTCCCTGAGGAACCATCCCTGTCAAACAAAAACAGAAATTACTGGAAAAGCTCAGCAGGGCTGGCAGGATCTGTGAAGTCATATGTAATACAATGAGTGACTCACAGACATAATAAATGGCCCAGTCAGCTGACAATTGTTTTCTGTTGCTGGTTTACTAATCAAACTTAAGTTCTACAAGCTGCCAAGGTGAGATTTGAACCTATGTCTCCAGAACATAAGCCTGGATTGTGAGTTCAGTGACATTACAAATCTGCCATTGTCTCTCGAATTAGCATGTTGGTTAGGATATCAGCAAATGTCTTGTTCTTCTCTGCAAGGTGTTTTAGGATCTTTCTTGTACCCACTGTCGGGAGATAGATAATGACACTGGGCCACTAATTCAGAAGCCCGCATTAATAATGCTCTGAGGACATGAGTTTAAATCCCATCGTGGCAGCCAGTAAAATTTAAATTTAATTAATAAATCTGAAATTTTAAAAAAAGTTCCATTAATGGAGATTCTAAAATCATCATTGATTACTGTTAAAAACCCACCTGATTAACTAATTTACTAACCTTAATGTACTGTGCAATTTGATGTGGTCTATATTTGATTCTTGATCAAT